AATAATAATAATAATAATAATAATAATAATAATAATAATAATAATAATAATAATACTTTTATTAGATGTATATGCCGCCCATCTCTCAGTAACTCTGGGAGGTTTTTCCATGTTCCTTATCAGGAACTAAATCAGTTTTTCATAAATTGTCCCTATCTTCCATGTCTAAAAATCTCAAAATTAATTATATAAAGAATATTTTATATTTTTCCCCTTTAAGTGATATAGTACAATTTCCCAAACCAGAATCCAATAGTATTTCTTACATTCAAGTGACATAAGAAGAAAATTCCTTTTATTTGGGAAAGCTATAGCATGAAAAGAATAAATTTCTGGAAAATATATCAAAAATAGTTACAATTTTTGTAAGTCGAGCCTCTTTCTTTTGGTCACTGACCAGCAATTTTTTGTTATTAATGTGAAAGAAAAAAATCAGACTGGATTGATATATGAATGCATACCATATTGAAATGGACTAAAATCAGACTGATCCATAAATACATTAGCCAAAGCATTAACACTATACAAACCTCTGTAAGATATAGCACTTGTGAAGCAGAAGGTCCAAAGAACAGAGAATCAAGGGAAGGACTAAGGCTGCTGTCACCAAGTTTTGCATGGTCTAAACAGATAGCTCTTAATTTTTCTATAGTAGTGTTATCTGTAATACATAAAACAAAATTTAAAAATGTTTCTTTCCCCAAAAATATTAAGAGAAACATACTGCTTTCTCAAAAACATCTTTAAAATTGAAATATATTGAAGCTACATCAGAAATCAAAACATTAAAAATATTTCTGAAACATATGTTTTATTTATAACACACATTTTTCAGGGACCACATGACTACAGTGTTGGCCCAAGAAAAGCAGCTTTTTTAAGGAACTGCTGACAGGTATAACAAATATGCCCACGCCAGAAAGTACTTTTCCCACTCTGGATCTGAATACTGCACACTTCTATTATATACTGTGCTAATTTTGAACTTCAATGGGAATTAAGCAAGCAATGTTGATTGTTCTGTAGCGGAAAATTTGGCTGCATGTGTTCTTTTCATTACCAAACTTATATTTCAATTAGCAACTACAGAATGAAAAAAAATTACCTGGTGGCATTAATTTCATAAGGATACGTGCACCATCTCTAAGGGGTGGCATATTTAGACTACTGCCTAGGTCTGCAACTTGCCAAAGAAATGAGATGTATCTAGGATGCAGTGACATAATCTAAAATAAAAATAAAAACTTGTGATAAGATGCAAATTTTAAACATTTGCCTAGCATTATAAATTTAGAAGCAATGTTCTTTAACTTACAACTCCAGGCAAGCAACTTTCGACTTCTGGATTTGGACCATCGCTATAATGATTGCCATGGTTACCAGGAGAACCCGTAGAAGAATCAGAGGAACTATCAGGGCTTGAAGGCATATTGGAACTTATCTGTGTAAGCTTTGCTGTAATTAGCTGCAGACAAAGTAAAAGGCAGAGGTAAATTGATAAACTGTCTCAAGTAGTGAAGCTTAAGTATTTTTTAAAGGTTCTGAATGTATTAAACTACAAGTTCCGCAAGTTTACTAATGCAAAATTCTACCATTATAGATTATATTTATACTGCATTGGCATACATTTTATCAGTATATAATTTTTCTTAGTACTTACTGTTTTATCTTTTAGATTCAATTGTCCAATTAATTTCCTGTCATCTACGGGATCTACTAGTTCGCCTCCAATAAATAATTCTACTTTGGTATGCGCACTGTTGGCTTTAATACGGTTGAGAATGCAACGTCTGACTGAACCAATGGTATCATTTGTATGAGACCAAACATCCAAATCTTCCACCTGCCGACCTTGGTTGGGAAAACGAACTACCAGAGAGATGTGCTTACCACGAAAAGCTCTGAAAATACAGGAAAATGAAATACTAGTTAAAACTATCCTAGATATTTAAGAATGTTAATATGGTAAAAGTAAACAAAGATAATAAATATTTTACTCCTTTTTAAAAGGTTAACAGTTTGCTAATAAGAAAACGTGTTTACTTCTGAATCCTCTGAAGGAGATGAAATTTATAAAAGCTATTTATACTGTAAGACTGATTGTCTTGGATAAAAAAATAATGTTTTCCTTACGTGTGTGAGGTATAATAAACACAACATTTATAATTCTGTTGTACTGCACCTACAAGCTATCATACTGAGATAGATTTCAGACAATTGGGAAGATGAGCTGAGTAGCATAATCCTAAGCATGTGCACTCAGATATATGTATCCTATATTAATAACTATGTAAGAACTAGTAATTCAAATAATATCTAATTAATAATTCCACCATTGCACTCTAAGTAACTGTAGTTCAGACTTTTCCACAAACCTTGACATTGGTAGAATTGTTCGTTCTTCATGATAATCACTGTCACATTCATTTATATACTCCCTTAAAACAGTCAACACTCGCACCATTCTTATTGCTTCTTGTCTTGCACAATTAATACTGTCTTTATCTCCATCCAAAACACATAAAGTATCATAGGATGCCTTCAAGCGATCAAAACAGGACTGAATAAAGTCCTCATGGATGACTACCTGTACAAATACCGAGAGGCATATTTTATCAATTACTCAAAAAGAACAAACAAAAATCTTCAAAAAAATTACATGAGGAAGTCCAGGTTTTTCCAGGTTTTTAATTCCAGAAACTGTTTTAAAAATTAACAAGCCAAACAAATATACTCTAAGAACATAAGCACTGGCCCAAATCTAAGTAATATTAATCATAACTGTCATGCAGTCTGACACAACTTCAATACTTTAGTACAAATAACAAAGATTAATGTCAAAATAGTGGACCTTGACTATTCCCACCTTTCCTGCCACAGAACAATAGAATATTCTAAAATAATTAAAATTAAGGACCACCAAAATTAGTTAGGTAAATATATCTGCTCATATCAGGGCACAAATTTCTTGGGTAAGTAGACTGTTAACCATGTCTACATTGTGTAAGCGATATTAAATGAGTATTTTGAAATGGTTATTTCTGCACTGTGCTCTTTGGATGACTATTAAAACCTTTTTTTTGTAAATAAAAAGGTAAGTAAAACTCTTCTGACATTGCAACAAAATTTCCTACTGGAAGAAGTTACTGTAATATTTTACCTGATTGACCTGTAATCTTGGACCAAGATTGGTATAAATCTCCTTCAGTAGATCTATTGCTCGACTGGCAATATCATCATTTCCTTGAATTACAACCTAAAGCAGCAACATAAAGTTAAGTTAAAATTGTACCACAAAGGTACGTATACCAATTCTATTTAAAATGATCTAAAATAGTATATGCCAAACTTACCTTTTTGGGAATGGAATGTTCTTAAGAACTCTGGAATATCCTTCAGACCATACCATTCTGCCTATTCTTGAAGTGGACTGCCATTTTTCAGAGTTAATCCTCCAAACAGAAGTAGGTTCTGGTATTCTAGTGGTATTCTGGCACAATTTCAGGCTGTTTCACTCAAAATATGACAAACTGCTTCTGTTTTTTTAACTTCTAGAAAATGGCAGACCATACTCCAAATGGCTGGAGCAGCATGATCCACAGGAGTAAGGAGTACTGAGGAATTTTCCAGAATATGCTACTCTGTTCCCAGAGCGGGTATTCTAGACTACATCATAAGATGCTACAAAGAAACTTTTAGAAAGCCAATACATTATTTAAAAAGCCAATGCCAAGTAAGTAAACACGTTTAAGTCTTGTCTCCTAGTTTTTTTGGCTAAATATTTAAACCATTAAAATTGAAGCCATTAATATCAATGGATAGCTTTATATATTCTCTCTCTAGTTTCTCAGGCTGTAAAGGAGATGGCAGGGGACTTGTACTTTCAGACTTGTGAGATTGATGTCAGCCTTACCAGGTAGACTAGACAGGAAACATGACCAGATAAGCTAATTCTACTTAAAATAAATGAACTTAAATTATTTTTATTCTGCAGTAAACAGATTTTAGTTAGCCATCACAGTAGGGCAATAGCTGATTAATTTTGCTTTGTTTCTTTGTTTTTCAAATGGAGGGTCCATATTCCTGACATGGGCTAAGACTGTGTAGGACACAAAACAACAAAACATAGTCCCTGCCCATCTTCCTATATGTATTGAAGCAAGCAACTACCATCAAAGATCAAATGTTCAATCTCATCTAAAAACAATGTTTATGAAATACTACTTGTATTTGTTTACATTTTGGTTATTTTGCCATCTCCCTGGCAGTGCTGGTATGAATTTACTGTCACCTTAAATAACTGCGAAAGAATAGTTAAGAACAATTGGTACACTTCACTTTTCCTAAATAAAATTTATTCATTGCATCTTTTCCCCATAATTTGCAAATAATGAAATCTTGTTTTAATGGACTACACTGAAGAAGGGGCTGACCATTATTCTCAAATGTTTTTAAAGAATTTATGTCACTGTGACAAATTATTTTATTTGTGCTATGACATCACACAAATTACAGTGTTTACATCAATTGCATAATTGTATCATGTCATATATAGTATATGGTGGTAAACTTGTTAGAAAAAGCAGCTGTACACAAACTTACTCTACCAATAGTAGCTCAAGAACACATTTTCAGCTAAAATTGGATAATTAATCAAATATAAAAGAAGCACCTTATAAATATGCTGTTTAGGGGCCTTAGGACGTTGACCTAAATTACATATTATCATCCAGGGCAGTTACTAGGGTATTGCAAATTAATTTTAAGCAGAAGGAAGAACACTGACAAATTAAATACTAACTATGACTTTAGAAGAGCTCCATACTATTACAGAAACATTAAGCTTTATATCTGAACATATCAAATGTATCAAATTAATGAAAGCATACTTAAGATACACAATGATTCTTCATTCCATGTACATATAATTGTTGATTTGCCTACTTTAAAAAATAATGTCCTCCAATTAGATTTTGTCAATACCGTAAGTCTCAATTTGAATAGTTAGATGTACATATTTTAAACTTACTCTCCAAAGATAATCTAGTCCTATTAACTCCAAGTCATCCATCATATAGGCTCGTCTCTTTGCTACTAGCTTCCCTTCCCGACAGTTCACAGCTTTGAAGAAACGCTCAAAACATTTCATTCCATTTTCTGTTAAGAGTGAAGGGTCCAATTGAAGAACATTGTTTTCAAAAAAGTCTTTATTAATGTCAGGGTCTAAATCCGGTTCATCTCCCATTAGTTTAGAATACCATTTAAAACAGGCTTCACGATCACACAGGTAGACTGCATTTTCAGCTAAACATTTCCATATTTGTTTTGCCTGAGGAGCACAGAGCCATAATTGACCATCCTTCAGTAAAAATCTTGCAGAAAACAAAGAAAAAAATCATTAGAAATATGTATTAATTCCATGAACACTTTAAAATAAAATCTATTATGCATGCTTAAATCCCAAAATTTTAACATTTCCAAGAGACAAAAGATAATTTACCAGTAATTACATTACATGCACATTATGTACTTTCACATTACTATTCTTAATATATGTTCATAAAAGGAAGTCATTCCACTTAATATTCTTTGACTACTGTAAAAGATTAAGGAGATAAAAGAAAATCTGTACATGCACATAAATTGTATCTCTGTGGCCTTCATATAACATATTTCCTTCCAAGTGCTGACAGACTAAGCTTCCCTTTAATATTTACTCATCACAGTATTCTCTTATCCTTAAAACTAGCCATTTAAATTTGCTTTAGTGAATCAAGAGATATCAAGATGTACTTATACAAAAAGGAACTACTTCCTTTCCCACTTTTCTGGGGCAGCTTGGCTATGAAGTAATAGTTCTGACTGCAAGAACTCTAGTGAAAACAATGTACCTTAAATGGGGCAATTTGAAAGAGGTTAACAGCTGGTATATCAATATTTAATGAATATAAATGGGAATTAGGCTGAAAGGATCAAGATTAAGATGCAAGGACTGATCTCTTGCTAAGGATCTTTCTGTAATACTCTCTACAAATCAGAATCAGCTTATGTTACAAATATCATTTAGTATGCAAGTTCTTCACATAAATAAATAAATAAAATTTTCTCTGCTTCTTAAGGAACATTTATTTTTACTCCCCCCCCCCAAAAACAATCTGTGCTTAAACCAACCGTAGAAAGTTCAACCGCTCTTGGACTTCTTGAACATGACTGTATCTACTTCCTGGTCTTACAGTTTGTGGATCATATTCTCCATGCTCTGCAAATTTTTAAAAAACAGATGCTATGATTTTATATATATTTAATTAGAAGTGAGTCCCAATGTATCCAAGAACCTCCATTTAAAATTGCCAACATTTTAGTATTGCTGAACCATTTATCATTTAGACGGGCAACAACTAAGACAGCCATACCAATGTCCTTTATGATATTTTTATACCTTATTCAATAATTCTTTGCTAAAATTTATTAACATAAAATTTAAAAAATGCTTCACAAATTACATGGAAATAGACTGAGAAAAATATTTTAGTTTTGCAAAACAACTCAAAGACCTGAACACTTTCTGTTTAAAAACCAATTTTACATGCTCCTTTATTGAGTAGCTGATCTCATATTTCTCAGATTAAGATGCTAGCCCCCAGTATCTAACAATGTTAGGAGAGGAAAAGGTTGTATTTTAATGAGTTAAACAACATTAAAATTTAACTCACCTTTAGCATACTGTCGCATGCTTTCCATATATGCTGAAAGATTTTCTGCGACTAAAGTTACTAGAGCATGATTGTGCTGAAGTTGATTGATTAAGTCATGACGATAAAATACATGGGGGCTTCGCTGAGTTTGACTGCAATTCAAAGCATAAAAATTATAGATGAATATTTCATATAAATATTTCAACCCTAATTGTATTAACAGGAAGTAAATAAGAGTCCAAAGTGGTATTACATTTTTAAACTAAAATCCCACTCAAAACTGAACATTTATAAAACAAGTCAATTTAAATTTTTTTAGTTTTTTATTTGTAATTATTTTTTAAATATTTATTCTTTTTAATTGTTGTACAC